TGTGCTCCTTTGAGAAACTCTAGGGACATATGGACCCTTCCTGGGAGAATCCCCACTGTAGTTTGTTTTGGGGATTATAAACAACTAGGTTGTGCCAATATCACACACGGTTGAGCATATGTACTAGTCAGCCCAGAGCAGTGTTACTCATTGTGAGAGGGCAAACAGAGATGGACATCATGCATTGCTGTGTGAATGATTTCTTCCTGGGTGCACTCAAACGAGTGAACATCTCAGCTCTGAGACCAAGCAGGAAATGTGCTCTGTCTGAAGCAGAGAAAACCATTATCCATAGGTTCAGGGTGTGTCTGTGCTGAGTTAGTGGTTTTAACAAAAGGTATAATTATAAACCAATTTTAGTTAAACTGGTGGGAAAGGCTGTTTGGGCACTCTTATTTTGGTTTAAACCAGTTTACATTAATTTGACTTAAATTGATTAGGAATATAGGTTGAAGCTAAACTACAATAAACCACTCTTAAACTGAACTAAATGCCATGTGAGTTTGCACTTGTTTAAACTGGTGTGTTTGTGTGTAGACAAGACCTTAGTGCTGAATACTAATACTTCAATTAAGTGTCACCTCCAAATGCCCAGTTCCTCCAACCTCAAGCCCCTCCCTCATAGCAAGAATTTCATTGATCTAGGCAACAGTCACTCCCATGCTACCTACTTTATATATCAAACCACTGTGTCTATGGTAAGTGGCTGTCACACACACCCCTGCACCCACTCCCTCATTTCTCAGTGCTGGTCTACACTGGGGGGGAGGATAGATCCAAGATACGCAACTTCAGCTATGCGAATAGCGTAGCTGAAGTCGTATCTTGGATCCAATTACCTGGGGTCCAGACGGCGCGGGATCGATGGCTGCGGCTCCCCCGTCGACTGCGCTACCGCCGCTCGCTCTGGTGGAGTTCCGGAGTCGACGGTGAGCGCGTTTGGGGATTGATATATCGCGTCTTAACGAGACGCGATATATCGATCCCAGATAAATCGATTGCTACCCACTGATATGGCGGGTAGTGAAGACGTACCCTCAGATACTGGACCTGCAGTGCTAAATCAAACCACCTGGCTGATGTGGATTCAAAATCCAAATGAGTTAGCTGAGTGCTACTGGGAGTTAAAACTCCAGATCTGTGTCCTAGGTTCCAGGAATAGAATCTGCTCTGAAATATGCACAGCATCTTTTAGAGTTTAGTAAAGTAAATAAAAAGGCCATTTCTTCATCCTGCAAACTCAGTTCATTATTCCAGAAGAAACTGCATTTGTCATGTATTCCCCATCTAGAAACAACCCTCTCAGCTGTGCCCTTTATTCCTCTGATTCGCCTGAGAGAAGCAGGCTGTTTTGTGTTCCTATCTACAATACAATTTCAACAAAGTAGAGCTGAGTGGGAATTTTTGGCCAAGGCAGCTTTTCATTAGAAAATGCAGACTTGTCAAACCCGAAACCTTTCCTTCAAACTTGGTGAAACTTTCATAGGGAAGCCTTCTTGGGTCATGAGGGAATGAGAGAGGGTATTATAAGTTGCCCCTCCCACCTCAAATTTTGCCCCCTCCATAAAAAATCTGAGATCCACAGCCCCATGTGCATGTGCACAGGTGTGCAAACATATATATTTTTTTTGCCTCTGCCCTAAACAAGGAGGAAAAAATTACCGCTGTGCTTCATCATGCCATGCTACAGTGGCAGCATAATGCCACTCAGCTGGAGCTGAACAATGGCTTCTTTCACAGCTGCTAGTTTACTTCTGCAGTCGCGATCTGTTTTTTATTTTTGCTGTCCTATTTTTCCCTGGGCTGCCAAGTGTGCAGGGCTGAGGAAGATGGCAGTAGGAGCAGCTGCTTTTTCTGGGCATTTTTCCTTAACTCCAGGGCTGCATGAGAGCTGATATTCCTGCCAAACAAGTAAGCAACCAGAGCTTGGGAGCACAGTAAATCCCACTATGTCACAAACAGGGAAAGCTGTAGGTGTATGTTTGGAGCACTGTTGTCAGTCAAATAGCAAACCTTTCACCCTTCTAAGAATTAAAAATACCAGGCGCATCAGACAGTGCTCTGTTAGGCCACTAGTCAAGGGAATGCAAAGGTCTGCTTTCAAGGGGAACCAGCCTTTAATCGTAAACAGGCCTGTACAGTGATGACCGCTTCAGGGACCACAAAAGGCTGACTTCTGCACTCATTTGGTCCCAGGTCACATAAGCAGCATCACTGGGAAGAAAGGGCCACGCTTCCCTTTGTCTACTTATTTGGATCCATATTTCTCCTCATTTTCTTTTTGTAAGTGCTTCCAGAGAAATTTGACAGCCGCCTTCATGGTACTCTGTTGGCTAAACTCTTAGTTTTGCCGTACACCTCTTCGGTCTGTGCATCCTGTCTTTCTCCCTGATTGACAGCAGGGCTCTGGGAAGCGTAGACCCTGCTGGGACTGGCTTTGCATAAGACCCTGTTTGTTCAGGCTTTTTGAGAGTGCAGTTGTGTAGTGTTCTGTGAGGCTGCACATTGTGCCTCATGCAGGCTAGCTTGCTTCCCTTGGCTTGCTCCCCCACAGTAAGCCTGGCTGTCACAGCATTAACAGTGGGTCTATAAATCATGTTCCTTTCCCTGTGGGCAGCAGGGAGTCCTAGACAAAGGAGCATCCAGCACAGGCCAAATGGTGCTGCAGGTTAGTAATTGAAACCCCAGGGGCCTCCTCCATCACTCAGAGCAGCAGAGCTGAAGGGGGGGAATGCTTGTGAAATATTTATAACTGCACCATGGCAAAATTCAGTGTCATTAGATTAAAACTCTAAAGGAGCTTTCTGCAGGGGAAGCAGATGGACCTGGCCAGAGAGGGGGCAGGTGAGCGAGCTCACCTCTCCTGCCATGCCAGGGCAGGCTGGAGGTCTTTGCTGCAGGGGAAGCAGCTGGAGCTGGCCACAGAGCCTGGAGATAGTGGCAGGAGAGGCCAGGAGGCCTTTGTCCCCATATTTCCCATGCGCTCTCTCCCCCACCCCCCCCCAAACCAAACCTCATTATGGTTCCTTTAGACACTAGCAGCTCCTGCCTGGCTAGCTACTTTTTTCTTTCTGTCATTCCTTCATGCGCAGTCCAAGTTCTACAATAGGGAAGTCTGGCCCTTTTTAAAAGGGGGAGGGACTGGCTCAGGGACAGATGGTGCAAGAGAGACAGAAAATAATGGGGAGCCGTGGGAAGTGGGAGCAAATGGTAGAACTAACAATGCTCATTGCTGGACTATGCTTTAATCATTTTGCCTCATTATTGTTTTATTATTCATGTTTTATTTGTGTTATGGCAGCACTCAGGGGCCCCAACAGAGCCTGGCCCCTTGGCCCAATTGAGAGTACTGCATGCTGGGATATGTAGTCTCCATGTCTGTATTACTAATTAAGGCAGCTGCCATCTGCTCCATTTTAAGCAAATCAGGCCCAACCCTTGAGCTCCTGGCAAGCTGCCAATGCACTGTAGGGGTTGCATGACTCAGTTGCCCTCAGGCCATAGACTCTGCTATGGCTGTATGGCTTGGAGTTACAAGGCTGAGATCAGTCCCAAGTATAACAATACACCTTAAATATCTGTTTAAAATATGCCATATATTTGTTTTTAAAGAGACAATGGCAAGCACTTTATTTAAAAGAAAAAAAAAAATCTTGTTCCCTCTTCCCTGGTCATTGTTTGTAATGCCTGAAAACATGTGCCTGGCAGCTGGGAACAACCAGACTCATTAGCAGGGGGGACTGCCACTGTCTCCAGCCCAGCCTGAGGCTTCAGCAATTGATTAGGACAGCATAGCTCTGAAGTTAGTGCTTGGTTCTTAGCTGCTTCTGCAGAGAAAGCAGATGGCAGCACAAACCCCACTTATTTTTTCCTTTCTTCTTTTTGTAAGTAGATCCTGCGTTGGGAGGGGCTGTTTCATTTTGTTTGTTTTTAATAGACAGGTGACTTTCCCTTTTGTATGCAGGCTTGTTAGAATTTCCAGGATGCTCAATCACTTTTTAAGAGAAGTCAGTTCTGGGGACCGAAGCTCTATGGCAGTTTCTGCTGAAATAAGTATAACTAGCCAAGCTGTGCTATTTCCTCTGCTCGGATCTCCTTTTAAGTTAGTGCAATCCCGGTTACGAATTGTATAACACTGATGTGGGGAATCTGGTCTCTAGGAACCGCCCTGTGTTGGGGAACCACCTCCTTGTGCAGAGCCTCACTGAGGTATTTTTCCTTTACTGCTGCCCTGCCCTGCACTTTATGCCTAACTCTGTTCTTCACTGGCTTCCCCCTTTGCCCCATAACCACCAGGAATCCAAGGTGCTCAAAATCCTTGATCCCAGTGAGCAACATGTTCAGTAAATAAAATTTCATATCTAAACCCCAGCTGTTCCTGAAGGGCAATGTGTGCCCAGTTCAAACCATCCTACGCAGTAAATCAGCCTGGTGTGGCGCAGCAAGGCCGATTACATTATGGAGAGCTCTGCTATGTAGTGGGTAGCGCTAGTGAAATCCCTACTGCAGCTGCATGGACTCCATCACTAGCAGAGGCAAGTGTAAGTGAGGTGCCAGGCTGGATGGGGACAGAACCAGTCACAGGAAGATGGTATCAGATATTCCTGGTGCCTTCACATCCCTCATGAGCTCCGCTGATCTGTCAGGTAATGTCCCCAGAGCTGGGAATATCCGATCCAGTATTTATTGCATAGACAGTTAATCCCATTTGATCCACAGCCCTGGTGGCCGGGACTCAAGCTGCAAGTTCTTCCGGAAGAAATAGCTTCCATTGTAAACGCAAAACTGAACTATAAGCCTTTTGTCCAAGAGACAGGCCAATATGTGAGGGGTCTCTAATGCCTTGTCCCCACAAGTCCACAGAGTCAAAGTGCCTACATCGTGGGCTCCTCCCCTCCTACAGCTCCAACTCTCTGGCTCTAAGAATGTCCCCGGGAAGTAGTGGACTCCCTTGTATTATCCACCATTTCTGCAAACTGTAAGGATCGTGGTAGACTCTGTCACCGCAGGAGGAGAGCAAAGGTCACCAACGCTAGAAGGAGTAATGTCAGTGAGGCTGAGATCTCAGCAGCTCCACCGCAGTCCTGAGCATTCTCCTGAGAACAAATGAAAAGGAGGCACAAGATCAGCAAATCTATTTCTAGGATCACAAGAGGGCAAGTAAAATGATTCATCCCACTGATAGGATGCTCAGGGGCTCATGGAACATAAGGGGTGGAGGCTGCAGCCAGCGCAATGACAGAGGCAGTGAATACTGTGAGACAATATGACAATGAGCAGAGAGGAAGGGACAGGTCAAGAGGAAGGGCCTCATGCCTTCACGCTGGGGGACCCTCCAAGAGCATGTCACCCATTCATGTAGACAGCTGGAAAACCAACCGTCCTAAAACCTCTGTCTTAGAGCTCTCAAAGACCCATGCATTAGTACCAGAAATTGCTCCCCCAGCCTCTGAGTGCTGTAGGATCCACACCCCATGGCATTGGTGCTGGGATTCAGGGCCCCAAAGCCTGCATGGATTTACCTCCTGTGCAGCCCCTCTGCAGCCCTTTGCATGCAACATGCTCCATGCACCAGTTTATAGGCTTTGAGGGATTCATTCACAGCCGTTTACTAATGCAAGGATCTGCACTTCCTGCCTTTAGGTGCAGTAGGCTGAGGCAGCAAAATCTCTTGGGTCCATGGCTGGCTGCATATGTACAGGATTTGCCATTTGCTAAAACACACACACGTGTAGTGTAAGGGACTAGGATCTTGTGGTCTAAAAACAAAGGCTTCTGATAATAGGGTTGCCAGGTGTCCATTTTTTTGACTGGAACACCCAGTCGAAAGGGGACCCTGGCAGCTCCAGTAAGCACTGGACTGCTAAAAGTCTGCTTGGCGCAAGGCTGGCAGGCTCCCTACCTGGCTTCATGCAGCTCCCCAGAAGCAGCCGGCATGTCCCTTTGGCTCCTAGGCATGGGGCAGCCAGGGAGGCTCCACGTGCTTCCCCCGCCCTGAGTGCCGCCTCCGCAGCTCCCATTGGCTGGGAACTGCAGAGGGGGCGGTTTTGTGTTTTTGAAAAGGTGATCACCCTAATTAAGTGGAAAACCACTATAGAATAATCACAAGCTCTTGGGCATTTCTGAGCCTATGCAGTAGGTGTAGTGGTGTGAATGAGACCGAACACAGACACCCCCAGCCCCAGCTGCAAAGCCCCATGGTCCCTACTGTACCTCCGGATGGAATGCGTGGCAGGTATCTGGCCGCCGTCTCAGTTTCTGGGAGCGCATCCTGTCGCACTTCACTGAAGCATTATGTGTATTGCCATTAAGATCAACAGTAGCATTTAGAAAGGGACAAAAGCAGCACAGACAAAAGACTGTGAGGTCCCTCACGCAGCCTAGCGAGGCTGTGACTGAATCTTAGAGCTGTGTCCAAGGGCCCTAGGAATTCAGATGGAGGTAGGATAAGAGGGGACAGAGGCAAACTCACAACGTGGGAGGACTGGTCTCCAAGGCTGTAAAAAGAAATAAGTTGCGGTATGGAAGCAAAAGATTATGAAAAGAAATCACAGGTTGGCTCTGTGCCAGGGAGGGAGCACACAGAACAGAGGCTGGGGAGAAGGCGGAAATGCTTAGCTGCTTTATTTCATGGTGACGGGATAATAGAGACAGAAAGCTTAATGTGACCATAGTTAATGAGGAAAGGGCATGATCCTGCAGGACTGAATTAAAGAAACAACTGCTGTAGGTGACTTACCAATAACTGGGCCACTGTTCTCAGATGTCTGTTCTACCATCACCATCATGTCTGTCTCTTTCCTCCCCCTATTATCCCAACCCCATGGTTCTTCCCCACCTCTACCATGGCTATTCTTTAACATCACAAATCATGCCAACTAGTCATTATTTTTCCTATTAACTGTATTTGACCCTCCTACTGGCTGATACCAGGCACGGAGTTAACTGGTCTGTATGGAAGTGTCTGACATGTAGCTTCTATGCCCTCCTCCAGCACTCTCAGGAGCTGGCAATTGGGAAGTCATGTTTCCATTCACTTAGGTTCCCAGTGATCCTTGTTCAGAATTTTTGTATATTCTGTAGCAGAGGGCGGCAGGATAATTTTGTGGTTAAGGCATTGCCTTGGGCGCAAGGTGATAAAGTTTCGACTTCTGCCTCAACCACAGGCTTCCTGTGTGAGCGTGGGCAAGTGTTTTTGTCCCTCAGTTTCCCCATCTGTAAAGTGCGGATAACAATACTTCCCTGCCTCTCAGAGGTGCTGGGGCACTTAGTTTCTTAGTGTTTGTGAGCCATTTTGAGATTATCTGCTAGTGCTCTATAAAAACAAAGCATTACAGCTGTTCTCCCTGTGTTGTTTCAGAAGTTCCCAGATTAGGTTTTCTAGTGTATTTAAATAAGCTGCTGACCCTAGAAGGGCTGGTGCAACAGTGAGTGCATTCCCTAGAATCCCAGCGCAGTCTGCAAAATGCCCTCCCTCTGTAGCTTATACAAATAGGTAATGGCCAATTGAGGCCAGTTCACAAGGGGAGAGTCGGGTCCAACTTCCACTTGCAGGGTACGTAACCGGTTATTTATAAGGGGAAGTAACAGAACAGGAAGGACTATTGTATTTTTAACAAGTTACAGCTCAGTCATGAGTCCTCATGTATACCTGTGCTGGGAAGTGAGGGGGTGTGAGGATCCATGTACACCCCTGCTTGGGCTACTCCACAGTGCTGGAGTCCCCACTGGGCTGCTGCTCCCTTCCCACGCAGGTATGTGGGGCAGGGAGTGAGCATAGATATCCACGCAGGAGCCCCTGCATTGCAGTGAATGGTTGGCACAGCGCTCTGCTCATCCCAATGGAGGCCGCTTTTCAACACCAGGCTCTAAATGGGGTTAGAGTTCTTGGGTGGCTAAAAGGGAAGATTTTCATTTCCAACCACACCTCTAACCTGCCTGCTCTATCTCTCTGCTCCCTCCACCATGCCTGCCTATTGTACCCACACTTGCATCCTGCTGCATCACAAGTGGAGCTATACCTCCCTGCTCTTTCTTCCTCAATCCTCCCCCAGCCTAATTGCTACAGGAACAGATCCTCCACCCCCAGACTAATTGTTGCAGTGGGAGAACAGCAGAAAGGGCTGCAGAGTCTAACACACGCTGTGATAGAAGAAGGATATATTTGACTTCTTTTGCTTCCAGGAGTACAGGTGGGAAGATGCTGCAGTCACAGGTAGCATCTGTAACCAGGAGCAGGAGGTTACTGTTGGCAATCTGCTGTGCTACAAACATCCTGTAAGAGGGAGAGAGAGAAAGAAAGCATATCCCCCCACCCACCCCAAAGCAGGTGGTTAGAATAGCAGGAATATAAGGAGAAGAGAGAATGGGAAAGAGATGGCAGGAGGGAAAGGGCAGGGAAGGGAGAGGAACAGAGAGAATGCAGGGGAAGGAGAGGTGATGTTCAGTTGATGAAGTTATTAAGGTACCTTTTTATCTTCAGATAATGCCAAACTCATTTGACTTTTAAAAAATCCAAACTAGGCAAATACACACACGTTTGTGTGTGTTATATATTGTCCTATAAAGGTAAGAATTTGCTTAGGTTGGAGAAACTTGGCTGAGAAAAATAGAGACAGAGTAATACAAAACAGCACATTCATGTAACGTGGTTGCGTGATGCTTGTTGTATCTTTGCATTTGCTGAGTTTTGTGCCATTGAAAAATGCATTTTTGGTGCTCTGAATCTATTTATGAATTTGGGTCAAATTTGACTTATAGCTTTGGCTGAGAAACTGAATTTCCTCCCCTCTCCCCGAAATATTAAACGTGTTTTATTTCAAATTTTTGTTTTGAACATTTGGCAACGTTTTCTTTTGCCTTTTTGTTTCCTAAAATTTCAGATTCAGATTTTCTAATATCTTTATTTAAAATCCACCCCCCAAACATGGGGAGATGTAATAAACACCCAAAATGGGCCACATCAAATAGAAAAACTGAAAAACTTCATTTCAAATTGACCAAAAATATTTTGTTTGATTTGAAACAAATTTTTAATTTTTGTTTCAAGTTTGACGACAACTTTTTTTTAATGGTTTTGGTTTGAATCCGGACAGATTTTTCAGTTCAGTCCCCAAACCAAAAAACCCCCCATTCTTCTCTCAGTTCTGGTGATGACCCCCAAAGGCAGTCTCTCTAAAAAGTCAGTTGAAACAAGTGTGAACTGCAGTGCTCTGCTGCCCTCTGCTGGGAGATTGAGGGGAGCAGGTATTCTGTAACCTGTAAATGTTGAATGGAAGAAGATGCTGTGCAGCATTGTGTAGCGATAATGGCAAAATAAGAATGTCTGCATTTTTTTTCATCCTCATACGCAAGCTCCCCATAGACCCGGACACACCAACTCAAAGTGGCACCAGATCCTGCCAGAACAACATGCAAAACCTGCAGACCTATCTCCACTGCTACAAAGATCAACACCACACACAACACCCCTTTCAAGATCCATAGATCCTACACATGCCTATCACAACATGTGGGTGAAACCAGACAATCACTACACTCTTGACTGAATTCATTCAGGAAAATGATATAAGGCAAAAACACCCTGTCAGCTGTGGGTAAACACTTTTCACAGAGCGATCACTCTAAATCCCCATCCTCAAAGGAAACCGGCACAACACTTTCAAAAGCCAAGCCTGGGAGCTTAAATTCATAACTCTGTTAGACATTAAAAAATCATAGAGTGATCAGAGACACTGGATTTATCGCTTATTACAACCATCTGTAATTGTCTAACCCCCTCTTTCTGTCTTATGACTGCAGAGGTATGAATGGGCCACTCTACCTTGAATGGTCCCTTATAATATGTGCTAACTACTTAAGCTAAACAATCTGTTCCACCTTGCATTGTGCTGTGATGCTCTGAGTAAGTTTCCCAGACCTGAAGAAGAGGTCTGCGTGGCTCAAAAGCTTGTCTCTCTCAGCAACAGAAGTTGGGCCAATAAAAGATATTACCTCACCCACCTTGCAGTTTCCGTGGGCAGCTTCTAATATACGTATAGGTGGCTGGCAGTGTACACATGGGTGGGTGAAAGGATATGTCTACACTACCCGCCGGATTGGCGGGTAGCGATCGATCTATCGGGGATCGATTTATCGCGTGTAGTGTAGATGCGATAAATCGACCCCTGATCGCTCTCCCGTCGACTGCTGAACTCCAGCTCGGCGAGAGGCGGAAGCAAAGTCGACAGAGGAGCCGCGGCCGTCAATCCCGTGCCGCAAGGATGCGAAGTAAGTAATTGTAATTCGATATAAGATACGTCGACTTCAGCTACGCTATTCTCGTAGCTGCAGCTGCATATCTTAGATTGACTCCCCACCCCTAGTGTAGACCAGGCCTAAGGGAGAATCAGAATGCAGCGCCCACTCTGCTTTATGCTCCTGTGCAGGCTACCTGGCCCTTGGGTCCAGAAAGCTCACACTCCACACTTGTGTCCCCGACCCTCCATAGAGCTGTGCTGGGGATGGTAGCTTGATTTGTTACTGGTAGGAGGAAGCAGGAGGTGGGGGAGGAAATTGTGACCTATTCTTGATTCCTACTGGCAAACTCACAATTTAGCTCTAAATGTTTATTCTAATAAACATAGCTCCACTCTAGTCCCATATGTATTTCCCAGTCTGCACAATTCAGAGGTTCATAGACTGCAAGGGACTATTAGATCATCTAACCTGCCCCTCCTATATATCACAGCGCTTTAAACTTCACCCAGAAACCCCTGTATTGAGCCCAATAACTGGTGGTGTGTTTGGCTAAAGCACATCTTCCAGAAAGGCGACCAGTCTTGCTACGAGGACAACAAGAGCTGGAGAATCCATTCACTTCTCTTGGTGGTTTGTTCCAAGAGCTAATCGGCCTCACTGTCAAAAATATGTGTCTTATTTCTAATCTGAATTTGGCCTCATCTTCCATTCATTGGTTCTTAATCTTATTATGCCCTTCTCCACTAAAGAACCCTGTAATTAGTACCCAGTATTTTCTCCCCATAAAGGTTCTTGTACTCAGTAATCAAATCACCTCTCACTCTTCTTTTTGAGAATCTAAACAGATGGAGCTCTTACAGCACTCACTGTAAGGCATTTTCTCCAGCCCTTGAATAATTTTGGTGGCTCGTTTCTGCATCTTCTCAAACTATGCAACCTACTTTTCAAAGGACACCAGACCTGTACACAGTATTTTAGTATCTGTCCGACCAATGCAGTATACAGAGGTAAAAATCACCTCTCTACTCCTACTCACTACTCCCGTTTGTATATCCAAAGATCACACTAGCTCTTTTCCCCATAGGATTGCATTGGGAGCTCCCCTTGAGTTGCTTGTCCACTGTCATCCCCTAAACTTTTTCAGTCTCTGCTTTCTAGCATATAGTCCAGTCTGTCGTCATGGCCTGCATGCCTTGGCCCTAGATATACAACTTTGCGTTTGTCTGATTAAAAAGCCTTTTGTTTGAATGGGCCCAGGTTACCAAGTGGTGTAGGTGGCTCTGCATGACTGCACTGTCTTGTAATTATTTGCCAATCTGTGTTGTCTGCAAGTTTTATCAGCAGTGTTTTTATATTTATTTCCAGATCATTGATAAAAATGGTGAATAGCATTGGGTCTAGCATTGATCCCTGTGGAACCTCACAAGAAACACCACCCTCCCCCTTTCTTTGAAGATTCCCCATTGACAATTACTTTTTGAGATCTGTCAGTTAGCCAGTTCTTAATCCATTTAATATGTGTTCTAGCGATACTGTATAGTGCTAATTATTAAATCAAAATGTCATGTGGTACTAAGTCCACTGTCTTGCAAAAGTCTATTACATCTACACAGTGACCGTTATCAAACTTGTAGTCTCCTCACAGAATGAAATTGGGTTTCAACCATGTTAACTAGCATTAATTATATACCTGTTGTTTAATTCTTTATCAATTGAATCCCATGTCAGTTTTTCCATTGTTTTGCCTGGGACTGATATCAGGCTAACTGGTCTATAGTTATCCAGGACATCTGTTAGATTTGTTTAGAGTCCACACTTGGGTTCTGTGAAAAATTAGATTTTGCAAAGCCTAAAATCAATAGAAGTGTTAAAAAATGGATTTAAATATCTCCCTGCAGTGTGTGGGTGGCAAAGACTTCAGCATTAGGCTAGTGCATGGCAACCTGAAAGGCAAGCTGACTATAAATGAAAATGTGAAACTCACTAGCATAAAGGGTAAAAAAAAAAATTAATTTTAATCATTTTCAGCTTTAATAATGTAAGGGTTATTAAGAGCTGGTCACATTTTAGTTGTTGAAAAATGGCCTTTATTCAAAATCAGAAACGTTCACAATTTTTTTTAATTTTCCATTTTTTGATGAAATTGGAAAGCAAGGAATTTACCCACTTTTTGCCTTTTTTGGTTTATAATTTTTCCTTTTATTTCTTCTTTTCCCTGCCCCCTTTTTTCCTTGGAAAAATGGAAGGGAGAAGGGAAACAAATGAAAATAGGGAGAAAAAGGAAAACTGAAAACTACTGAAAATGAATGCTTTCTAAACAGAAAATGTTTGTAAAAATTTTGAATAAACAAAAAATTGTTCCTCTCTTTAATCTGTGGAATGAAAATGACTGATTTTTTGTGTGTGCATTTTTGCCCACTTCCCAACCAGCTCTTGGTATTAATAGGAGATTTTGGTTTTGTGTTTTATTTTAAAACCAGGGGTTCTGACAGACCTCTCTGTCTTCCTCTGCTGACATGCAATGTGGCCAGGGAGTTCCACTGATCATGTGAGGTGCTTTAGAAATGCTACAAACAGGCACAGAGTATCAGGGGGATTGTCCTCAAATATTGTCATTCTCTTTCAGTGAGTTTCAGGTGGCATCAATGACCTGGGATGGGCCAGAGGAAGGAGTGGAGGCCTATGGGTAAAATCCTGAAATAAAAGGGGAGATTTATTTCTTACTTTTGGCAGTCTCCGCACTCGATCAGCCCATTGGTCTCTTTGATGGTGGTCTCGTACACAAAGACAGGGTATTCTGTGTCACATGGCTGCAGCATATCATGTTTCTTATGCTTGTGAGCTGCGATGGCAAAAAGAGATGAAGTCAGAAACGAGGATTGGGGAACCGAGAGACAGAGGGCTGGTCTACACTACCATGGTAAATCGATCTAACTTATGTAACTTCAGTTATGTGAATAATGTAACTGAAGTCGACATAGTTAGATCCACTTACCACGGTGGCTATACTGCGCTGTGTCAATGGGAGAGTGTCTCCCATTGACTTCCCTTACACTTCTCACGGAGGTGGAGTACACAGATCGATAGGAGAGGACTCTCCCATCAATTTAGCATGTCTTCACCAGACCCGCTAAATCGACACTTGCTGCATCGATTGCAGCAGTGCCAATTTACCAGTAAGTGTAGATATGCCCAAAGAAATGGATTGAAAGAAAAATGTGGACGATGCAACAAAAAAAGGCAAAGTTGCTGACAAAAATGAAGTGCAATGATACTTAAAGCCACCAGGTGGTGTGGGAAAACCAGTGTAGCAGGAGAATTGTTTGAGATATTACTCTATGGTTACATTGATAAAGTAATACTAGGCCTTATCACACACTGTTTTTAACTGTACTCATATAGTTAAAGTGGTAAAACTCCACTAGTGTGGATGCACTTATAGCAGTACCTTATATCAGTATAGCTATTCCCATAGCGAATGAGAATAAGCTATACCAGTATAAGGTACTTTTAGACTGATTCAACTGAGTCCCCAGTTGGGGGGTACATTGATTTAACTATTTTGGCATTACCGTAGCTCTATTAGTGAGGAGGAGTTAAGCCAAGATGTTGTGGAAGGAAAACCTACGTTGCCTGTTAATATTTGAAGCACATAAAACAGTGTGGTTTATTTCATATGAAGGAGTGGGTTATCATTTGTTCATTTCCTGCATAGCTCCTAGAAAAAGACACAGTGACAGCTGGGTCTCCAAGTCCCCTACAAGGCCTAGTTAGTCAAATACCCCTTCATACTTGCTGATTTTATAAGTGGCCAAGGATCCATCTGTATTATAGTAATAATTGGCTAGGCTTTGTCTGGTCAGCCAATCACTAAAGAGATTAGTATTTTCCTCCTTTTATTGACTTCTCAGAGACCTGGTCCATATCGGCAGCTCAACAAACTGAACAGTTAACAGCAGCTCTATCACCACCCATTGGCAGTGCAAAGAATTGCACTACCTGCATTATTCTGAAACCTCACTGCAAATTCAGGACTGTTGCAGGAAAAAATCAAAAGACTGGGTTGCTTGCCTCTTCCCATTTTAAGACTTCTGACTAAATGCTTTGTGAACCTCCCCTTTCCATTCCAAGGAAACTCAAATTGTTCAGTCTACTTACAATGATGGAAGACGGACTTGGCTATCCGAGTCACATAATGAAGATGGGTTCACATGGCAGTCACACAAGATGGCAGCACAGTGAATGTATGAAGTCACATGGGGAGGTCATAGATGGAGCGAGGGGAAAATGAAAGAAAGCAGAGAAGGAAGTGATGATGAATAGTACAGGAATCAGACCCCCCCCCCCCCCCCCGAGAGAGTATGATTAAACAAAACACATCCATTTAAAGTGACACACAGTTATGGACACAGAGAACCAAACCTTTCACTCACTTTGATGCATCTTCTAATAAGAGCACTCTCTCCTGCACGGACAGCGGGAATGGATTTGGTAATCTAACCTGTTTCTCTCGCCTTCCCGCCCCCGCCCCCCACTTATGTGAACCTATGTGATCCTGAAGGAAATATGCCACTCTTCAGGAGGGCCATAGCATTTATCATATGTATTTTGCATGAAGTTCACGCTTGTTCAGAAAGCCTACACAAGTCCCATCATTTCAGAAGTCCTAGTTA